GGGAGGGGTCTGGCAGGGGGAGGGGTCAAGCAGGGCAGGGGTTGGGGGCCTCAAGGGGGGAGGGAGTCTGGCAGGGAGAGAGCAGAGCAGGGGTTGGGGGCCTTTTTTTTGTTCCCACATGTGCCTCTTGCCTCGTCTCAAAGGGGTTTGCTGTGGGGCAGGAGACGTGTGCGCGCTTGTCTGAATGCAGCCAAAGAGTTTGATTTTTAAGACGGGGGTAAAAAACTCAACCATATGCAGCCTGCAGGGGGTTAGCTTGCAGCCCCTGAGCTTCTACCTGGCTTCCATTTTTTCTCCCTCTAAACCTGGCTGCTAGGGCAGCCAGAAGAATGGGGATCCAGGCTCCCTTTCTCTCCTCTGTCATCTACTACTTGCCCCTGTGGTGCAGTACATTGAGGGAACCCACAGCTTGGAAGCTGAGGGTGAGGCCAGGGCACCCAGGTGCATGGTGCTATGGGCAGTGGAGGGGTGGAGACCTGCACAGTATTCAACCTTACGGCTTGTGGTGCAACTTGTACACCTGGCCACATAGAAGCCAGGCAGCTCTGATTTTTAAGGCTTTGATTCTAAGAATACATGCTTATGTAGATATTTGCAGGCTCGGAGCTCAAAAACCAGGTTCTAATAATGGACTGAAACAAATATTCGAGTGAGTGAATAGGAAGGAAAGGGTAACAATAAGGCAGTACCAATAATCGTACAAATTCCTGCTATCCTCCTATTTTAGTCGTCTTTTGGCTTATCCCTTGTCCACCCAAGTATCTTATTGTCACAGATAACTTGCCACTTTACACAGAGGAGGAATAAAATGTGTACAAGAGTGCAGTCCTCAGAGAGATGGCAAATGGAAAATAGAAATAGCTGTGAGAAATAGCAAATATAAAATAGTGTCCTTGGCTATATTTAATTACCCAGGTGTAATTTTTTTCCTTTTATTACTCCAGTTAGGTCAAAGGCCTACTTAATTCACAATGCGATTCTGAAACTTGGTGTGCTGGAGGGAATTCTTTGCATGTTCTTTTAATCTTTTTGTCAAAATTCAAGCAGCGCACTATCCTGGTGGGTAATATTTGTGACACTAGCATGTCTGGCATTCATCCTGGGGAGCAAAGAGAGCACCCTTGCTCTAGGAAGCAAGTGTGTCTCTTTCCTTATAGTTGTGATGTTTACTATAGAGCACACTGGGGAGAAAGCTTCTAGAACGTTTTTTTTTACTTGATGAAGGAATTGTTTTGAAGTATGATTAGTGGGATGCAATGCTAAAAACAGTGCACCTTTCAGTTTATGGCTACTAGTGACTCAAATGATTGATTTTGATAGAAAGAAAGTATTAAAACAAGACCAATCCTCTCACTCCAAAAAGTCTGTCTCTGGTGCTATACCTGCTACTTGCACTAAATTTTGTTTCAGTTTTGCATCTCTTAGTATCTTAATCTAATAGCAAATATCTGCCTATTTGCTAGGTGCTGTATATAGGGTCTGATAGTATGGGTACTAGTGTTACCATGGGCAGTTTTTATGTATAATGCTAGCAGGACTCCCTTGATGCATTCCATTGTATTGGGCCATATCAATATCTGGGCATAGAGCTAATGTTGCTTGTGACAAAGTAGATCTATGAGGCAAGTTCTTTACTACTGTGTAGCCATTTATAGTGGTATCAAATGGATGCTAAGAAACCAGCATAATTGGGTTTTACAGATGCCACACAAGCACGAAAGGCTAAAAGACCACAAACTCTTGGGCTGGAATACTTTATTGCATATGAATAAAGACATTACTAAAACATTAATATAAACATACATTATTTATGTAGTGAATATCACTGATCATATATTATCACTAAGATTTATTTTTGTTCTAATATAATACTGCTTTGGTCAATTGCAATATGTTCCTTCCTTTATGCCCATTATCACTTGCATAAAGCTTTGGTTTTTATATAGCTGGTGGGTTTTTTTCAATTGGACTGTGGGGGGAGGAACAGCCAGGCAAAGTTGATTCAAAAACAACTTAATTTGCAGGAATGAGCACAGGACTGTCTTTAGTCAATGACTTAAAATTTAAAAAAAAAATTTTTTAAACAAGTTATAAAATTAACCTTCTGTTTGATAGCATAGTACATGTACCCTTTCTGCCGAGATCTCTTCTGGAGAAAGTTAAAAAGAAAGCGAGGCTTTAACATTTTGCAGAATTAATGTAATGTATTGGCTGCTTTGACCAAATTGGTGATTCTTGACCAGGGTGCCACAGTACCCTGGAGTGCCTTGGGATCCTTTCACAGGTGTCACACAATGTTGGCACCGTTAGGTGTGAGAACACAATTCGCAAGAATGACCCAGAGTTTTCTCATAGGAATCCATAGTGTTAAAAATATTCTGATGTGTTCTAGTCTTTTTCTGAGTTCTTTGCAACAGAAAACTTGTTCTAGTGCTTGGGTTTTTGTTGTTGTTTTTGTTTGGTGTGTTGTTTTTTTTTTTTTTTTTTGGAGTGCAGAAAAATAGTGACAACTAGGAACTGACATTTCCTAAGGAGTGTCTTGAGTCCAGAAGGGTTGAGAGCAACCAAGGAGATTTTATACTTCCCCTTAACATCTCCTCATAGAATCTTGTTTTTAGTGATTTTAATGAATAAAAAAACAAAACAAAAACTTTAATGAGGGGGGACACAGAGGAGATTTGTCTGCTACTAAGTCCTTGGGTACATTTTTTTTTCTTTTGCTTTCATACTCATTGCACTCAGGCTGCTAATGATAATTGTAGTGTGTTGGTGGAGGGAGTGGGGAAGTCTGTTCAGATATTGAGTGTGATTCTTATTTACTAAAATCAATGGGAGTTTTTTTCTATTTGTAGAATTTAAGTTCAGTATTGCCAAACTTTTTTTTTTTTACTGACAGCCAAACTTTTTATTGGCATATTTTTTTACTGACATGTCTTATGTAATGAAAATTTAATCCTTCTGCTAGGCCCTGAATGGCAGTGACAAGGACAGCTCAAATTTAGAGGTTTAACATGAACCGTAGTTAAAAAAAAAAAAAAAAAAAAAAGAAAAAAAAAAAGTTTATGAAAAAGCAAGTTTAAAAAAAAATTCTCGAGTTGGCAACCCAATCTGACTGCAGCAATGGCTTTAAGCCATGCTGCTCGTACCACAGGGATACTTTACTCACTCCCATACTCTGACACCCCCAACAGCACCCCACACAGTGCTGTTCCCACTTCCAGCCTTAACCCCCACTAGCCCATGCTCCCCAATTCTGGCATAGGGCTCCACCTACTGCTTCTCCTCCTCCTAGCTTTAAATTTAATCTTGGCTCTATTGTCTCCCTCCTGTACCTTCAAGGTGAGTTGCTGTTAGACACAGGGGGTGGCCAAAGGGTTGCAGTGGCAGCATGTGGTTGGGCAGTGTGGAGGAAGTAATACAAGCTCTCTTGAGCCACACAGCCCTGATGAGAGCACACTGAAGGGTGTTATGCTCATTCTCAAGTGGCTGTGGTCTGCTTTGTCTGATCATCAAGATTACTGTTGCTTCATTTTTACAAATGCCTACAGTTTATTTTGTCCTATTTTTAATAAGCTGCGCACAAATTTACAGACAGTGGGCAATCCTAAACGAGACTAATCTTGTAGACAGGCCAAAAATGTGTTTGTGTTTTTTCCCCCCCCAAAAGCATGTGTTAATAGACAGTAAACTACTAAAATTTCCTATAATATCTATACATGTGATTTGTATAATTTTTTTTCTAGTTACAGGGATGCAGAAAAGAACTTCCACAATATATCAAACAGATGCTCGTATACAGACTACTCTGGCAATGATGAAGCTGAAGATGTCTCAGGAATTCTCCAGTGTACAGCTAATATACTCGGTACTTTTAATTTTTTTTTTTTTTTTAATGGGGAGCAATCTTTCTTTTAACTGAAGATGACAAAAGCCAAAACAGTTTAAGATAAAGTCAGTGTTCTCTCAATATGTTGCTGTCATTGTTGTTTTTCCTTTCTAGGCATATTTTGCAGAACTGAAGTATGGTAATATAGACTACTTATTCATTGAAAATACTATTAATTTGGTTTTCCCTGAAGCTTGGAATTTTAGGTGCTTTGAACCCAAATTCATTTGGAGGTGCCCAGGTGTAATGAGAAATGAATTTGGTCCCCAGATCTGGGTCACTTGGGTATTAAATGTTTCATATAAAAAGCAGATGCACATGGGTTTTATTAACTTTATGGATATGATGTCTTACAGAACACATCTTAGGAGAATGTATTGCCTTTCATTATGGGTGTATCTTAAATGATTTTGTGCCATTCATGCTGACAGATCCTACATATAACAGATATGTATAAATGCTAAATCTAAAGATGACAACTGAAATGCAGTCAACTTTTGGGCAACATATGCAACTACTTGATAGAGCAAGTAACGATACATGAGAGGATAGAAAACAAGTAGGATTATTCTATTAAGCTGAAAATACCAAAAGAACCTAGACTGTACAAGTCTGTAATTAGCTAAGCTGGTTTTTTCATCTGTTTTGTGCATATAAGCTAAACTCATACCTGAAGCCTTAATTTGACCATCTTGGTAAGCCATATAAAATTGAAAACTGAAATTTGGAAAACAGTTGTTTTGTACTGTCAAATTATCAGCTCAAAATAGAGGCAGTTGGCCTTATAGCTGAACACTATTGTGTGTTCTTCAGCTTGGTTCCTAGTCTACTCTGGAACACAAGTAAAATATTTATGCTTTTAAATCTGACTTTTTTTTCTCCCTTTAACTGCTCTAAATCCACACTAAGAATGGAGAACAGTATATGACATTTTTAGTAAATAACTGAAACTTCTTCAACAAAAGTGTTCATTTTTATTATTTTGGATTTTTTTGAAAGGTCATCTTTAACTGCTGGTTAAGTAGCTAACTTTTACATAAAAGTTTGAAGAAGTAAAATGCTATATATTAATGCTACTAGGGAGTTATTCACAACAGCAACTTATGTTCACGTAGTGGCAGAGCTGATGCCATAGCTGCTGCTTGTTGGCATGTAGCAATTAATAAAACTTGCTCCGAAATTTGTCTTAAGCACTCAGTCTTGAAGTGAATTTACATATGGGTTATTTTGCCACTGAAAACTTGAAGCATCTTTTTTTCTCTTTCTGATCTGTTTCTGAAACTACTAGCAAAACACCAAGTATTATTCAGTGTTGTTGTGTTAAGATGCTTACTAGTGGTAGATGCTTTTTGAACTTTTAATACTGCAGTTATAATGCCTGTGGCTGTTTTTGTTTTTTTTAAATAATGTTTCATTATCTAAGATCTTGTTATCATTACTAGTACTATATTTGAGACTTTTAAGGAAATCCTAAGACTGCTGCAGATGGGAGTTGGGTATAATACAGGGGTAGGCAAAGTCCAGTGCACAGGCTGGATCTGGCGGGTAGTGGACTCCATTTCCCAGCAGCCCCTGTCCATGTGACCTGGGGTTGGCTTCCAGGGAGACCCCAGCAGCAGCCAAACTGATAGTGTGGGGCCAGGGTTTCCACGGAGACCAGCCTCAGCAGCACTGTCAGGGTGCACATCAGGGCAGGGAGCTGCTCTAGGGCTAGGCTGGGTTTGGATCTTGTAGCAGTGACAGCATGGTCCAGAGCAGGCAATCTGCTGCCTACACTCCCCTGCCTGGAGCATGCAGGCAGCAAACCATGGCTCTGCCCTGGCTCCAGATGATGCTGTCATTGCTGCAAGAGCCTGGCCCTGAGCAGCTCCCCACCCTGACATGCACCCTGCCAGTGCTGCTGGGGCTGGTATGTAGGGTTGAGGTTTCCATGGACTATCACAGTGTAGGTGCTGCTGGGATCTCCATGGAAACTGGCCCCAGCCATGTGGGCAGGGACTGCTGTGACATGGTGGATCCAGCTGGTGGCTGGACTCCATTTTGTCCACACTTGATATCATAGGTGCCGCTCTGGGTGTATGTACACAAGAAGCTAACTTCACAGTAGCTGAATAATACTGCACAGTAGCACATCACAGCACAGACAGTACTAATACGCTAGTGTGCAGGCTTATTAGGCTGCTGCACAGTAGTGTCACTAAAAAGGCCTTCCCTGGTGCTACTGCATAGTAACTCTGGTTACTATGCATTTATTTAGTTCTTGATTATACAAGTACTAAATGCTACTGCACAGTGGTTACTGCATATTTGTCTCATGCAGATGCACCCACTGGGTGAGATGAGATGCTTACTGAGCAGTAGCCTAATAACACTGCACAGTAGTGTGCCAGTCAAAAACTGTGTTTAATATGCTACTGTGTAGTGTTATTAGGCTACTGCGCAGTAAGCATCTCAAAAAATGTCAGTGCTATTGCGCAGTAGCGTGAGTTATTGTGAATTGAATTAGTAGTTGGTTAACAAAGTACTAAACTTAATGCGCAGTAACTAGGGGGCATTAATGAACATGTAGATGTGCCCACTTTACAGTTAATAGTACCAATAACTTTTACTTGGAAATGGACCACAATTTTAAGCATGTGGGCTGTTCTTAGTATTATGCTACTTGATATGTTGTTGTTGGTGTGAAACACAAAATTAAAGTCCTGAACTTGTATAATAATTTAAGATTTGATTCCTGTCTTTGTAAAGGCAAGATAGTAACTCTTGAAGGTATCAAGAATACCCATCTGAGTGCTTACCTAAAATTTCTTTTGCAGTTGGATATAACATTTGTCGTCCTCTTCTGCCTTAGACTGTTGCGTAAGACGGGTATACACTGTAAAACAGCTGATATGTTCCATCTGTGGTATGTCCGAGAGGTGGCTGCATTCAGTGATTTGATGTGTTTGTGTTTTGCTCTTCATTTGAGCCTGAGGCTGAAAAAGGTGCTCAGTACCTTGCAGATCCAAATCAAATCAAATCAAAAGGGTTCTAAGAATTCTTAAGAGCCAATTAAAAGTCCTAACTTGTCACATTGGACAATGCTTGCATATTCATGACTTGCATCATTGCTTTTCATAAGACTTGTAAAACTTGCATATACTATATATGTTTTCCTGAAAATTAGTACTCATGTTTAACTATGAAACTACATGTTCATGGGGTATCAACTCTATGGGTGATTTAAAAATGTCTTGTAATTTTTTTTAGCTGTAGTGTGTTTTTTAAAATGTATTTTAAATGTGTCCAGATCATACAATATGGTCTAGCGGTGTGTAGCTGTCATTAGGGCTAGGGACAGACATTACACAAACTAGTTCAAGTGATCAGAAACTGGCTTAAATCTGTAACAGAACAGATGTTCAGGGTGCACATACCCGTTTGGCTGGCTGAAACCAGGTTGAAAGAAACCTGGTTGAATGTAGTATCAAACTTAACTGATTTGGCTCAAACTGATTTATGCAATGTCTGTCCCAGACTCCTTGTTGGTTTAAGCTAAACCAGACTTCCCCAGCATCCTGGCATACTCCTCGGGGCTGGGTGAAGCTCTCTGCTTCATAGCAGGGCTGGCCCCTCCCCTCTGCTCCCTGGCTTCAGCTCCAGAGACTGCAGGCTATTTCCCTCCTCCCCTGACCACTCCCTACTACGCAGGAATTCCTCCTTCCCCTCCTGCCTTGCTGGGGAGGTGTCTGTGTATTAGCTAGCAGACTACCAGCTACTTGTTGATTCAGCACAGACAGTAGCCAGCATGTGATAGCCCTCATTTTCTTGATAACGGTGTTTATCACTCAACTAATTCCCTGCTGGGCTAATCGGAACTTCCTGCTGGAGCCTGGCCATGCCCCCCTCAGTTCCATGCTGTGGAAGGAAGGGAGGGCTGCTCTAGCATCCCCTGGTCTCTAGCCTGAGCCACTGCAGGCATGTGCCTACATTTCTGGGATGTATGTCCAGTTACAAAACTGATTTAGCCTAGCCAGGTGTGACTAACCTGCAAAGATTGAATCAGTTTGGGCTCAGGCTTTTTGAATGTCTGTCCCTAGCCTAGGACTACACGTTAGTGTAGTGCAGGGGACTATACTAGCTGATAGTTACCTCAGGAAGTGCTACTATGCTGGTTTGAGGAGGGGAAAAATATTTTAAAATACTTATGAATAAAGGTGAAAAGAAGTTACTGTTAAGAAAATCTCACTTTTTCAACAAGAAGCAAAGATCAGAATAAGAGGAGCAATTAGAAGACCCAGAATCCTAAGGTAATATTTTAATAACCACTTATTTCCTTCTCTTTTTTCTTCTCTCCTATCCAGTGACATGAATTGAAGATAGTGTACCAGCATTAGTTCTGACTTCAACATTTCAGTCAGTAGTTTGTGTCACATCAGGCAAACTGTTAATGGTGGCCACCTAATTAGCCTTTACTTTTGTATGGTGGCTATTTTCCTTAGTGAGTAGAGATTATTGAAAGATTGCTTTATCTGAATAGGAAACAATCCCTGGAGAGTGTACACAGCATAGCTGATCTTCTTGTAACATTCTTGAACAGAAGACTCAACTATTTCTTTAACTGCGGTGATATTTAGACAAATGTTGATCCAAATTCTATTCTCAGCTTACTTATATAATTGAGAATAAAGATTTCCCATTCAGAACACTGTTCCCTGTGTAGCCCAAGGGTCGTTTGTTTATGCTAGAAGTGAATATTTAACAAATTAATGTTGTTTGGCCTGTATTACTTAGGACAGTGGTTCTCAACCTTTCTAGACTCAAAGTATTCCTCCATACCTTTTCTGAATTTTACCAGGAGCCTGGTTGAGAACTGCTCTTGTAGTGTCTTGGCTTACCTATTTTATCAGGTAAATGTCATGTAGGTGGGAGCTCACCCCTGCATAAGGTAAACCTCATGTAGCAATGGCAGTCTGAAGATTAAATCCATAGAAAAGTGT